AACGTATTTTAATTGATAAATAAAGACAATAAATGACTGAAACCCAGGAATTCATTTTGATTTGGAATTGAAACACAGTCAGGAAAGTATATACAGTTAATGATAAAGCTGTAACTCACTTTTCAGCTTTTTACCCTCTTTGGCCCACTCGGACTTTCGCGCTTCTTTGCTCTCCTTCATGGGTATTAGGGTCAGCTTTTGCTGCTGCTGTTGGTCCGGTTGTTTGCTGCTGACACCTACTCTGGAGTTGTAGAAAACGTGCACTGAGAAGCAAAGAACAGAGAGGCAAAGATGCAGGCATTGAGCTGCGTTCCATTGGCTTTTGGGTACCTGGCATTACTGTGAATACTTTGCTATGGGGCAGTCTCGTTTCCGGATTTGCAAATATGTATTTAGACAACTTGCGCGCGATCTGGCAAGTATCATCGCTGTTTAGTTGTTCCTAAAATTTGGTCTTTATAGCATCGTCGAAAATCGTCCAGTATTGCACACCTTCAACATGTTGCTCGTTTCATGGCATCCTTCCATCATGTTAGCTTTGCTGTTTCCGCTGGTGGGCTTCAGCAGATCCGCCCAAATCTGTTGGTTCTTCTGCCCTTTGCCGTGTATCAGTTTGTAGAGATACATGTCCTTTACGTCGATCGTCTGAAGAATAGCATCCTGTAATATTCACAAACTGTTTATTAGTAGATCTTACTTTACACATGTGGTCCCTTCTGGGGTATTCTGGGTTAAGTGGCATTAAGTCCTCCTTGGTAATGTCGTCAAGGATGTCCAGGTACTTGAGCCTTCGGTGACTGAGTTGCGAGTACTTGGCTCTCATCCAGTGAATTTTGCATTTGTCGGACTTCGATAGGGGCTGATTGTTCGTAACTGATATCTTGCATTTACACGTGGATCCTTACAAGCGGAATGCGCAATTATCAGTTTGGGGGTGGTTTTGAAGGGGTTCTTCTTACCGGATGGGACGTGGTTGCCGCCACTTTGAAGAGCTTCCTTGGGTCCAGTTAGGTGAGAAGCGGAGCGCACTGAGTAGGTTTTCGGCAAAAGTCTTTCTCTTTTTGTTGTTTTCTTGTCGCCTTTTTTTTGATCTTTGATCCGCTTTGTCTGAAAATGTGAGTAAAACTTACCGAATTGTCAATGCAGACCAGAAGCTTCGCTCATACATTACATTTCCTTTGCTTGAACCATAAGCTATCTTGATACAACTTTCCTAGGTCTGTTAGGGAGTATTTGTGATTAGCGCCGGTTTTTTGCCGTTTTCCACTGAAAAAAAGTGCGTTTTGTATGTTAGTCCAATTTTGTGTGTTTTCTACAAACTTTTCCATCATTGGAGCACCTCCGGTTGTTGAGGCTCTGTTTCGCTCCAGGTGTTTTCGGTTTTTTTTCATCATTTTCTGGAAGAAAATCAGACTGTCGTTGGCTTCGAGCTGGGCCAGCATCCTCTTATGCAAGTCGGTGATTGCCCTTTTCCGATACACATCTGCGTATGTAAAGTTCATTTTGACTGAATCTGCAATGCCAAGTTTGTCTGGAGTCGATATAATCCTGTAGTTTTTTCGCCAACCATGTCTTGAAACGAAAAGCTCACAAAATCTAAGAGCGTTCCGCGAAGATCTTGGGAAGCCGTCTTCTTTGGACCACTCGTCAGAAAATTGATCCTCCGTTTGGAAGTGTGTTTGGACTCTTTGAATTTCCTTTACGGTATTGGTTGGCGGTTCTTCAAGTTCGCCTCTGGATTTGCTCGACGTGCGTCTTAAGAGTGATGATTTAGGTGTGCGTGGCTGAAAAACACATTTTATCTGGTTCCATTTTTATTTAGTGCAGAGCGGATTCCGTAATTACCTTGTGCATATCGTGACTATCGGGATCTTCTACTTGCTTGTAATTTGAATAAGACTGGTTGATCTCTTTGTTGATGTCATCCACCATGCTGGAAAGGAAGTTATTGTAGTTGGCGATTTTATCCACTTTCTTCATTGTTTTTTGGAAACTGTCTGCTGTGCATTTTCTGGCGAGCCCCAACTTGGAGGTGAGAGATTCGATTAGTTCGACTCGCACGGACTCCACTGATTCCGTTTTGGGGTTTAAGATGGTGAAAAATGGTGTTGGCCCTGTTTGGGTACTAAGCGTTTCAGCTGTTAGCTGCAAAGTTTAACGGTGAGTAATTTGCGGACTTTCCGTAATTTTTTGGTTTTACCTCTTTTGCGGATGGGGTTTCGTCGATGAGATCCGCGACCGTCATATCCTGATTAATGTCGATGCTCTGCACTTCACAGTCGGGTTCCTTTTCGGCAACATTCAAAGTCTTCATTAAATCACCCGATGGGGGAATTTTACTAAACAGAACTCATTCTGTGTTATATATTGAAAAAAATAGCTGCTCGAAGCCCTACTTGATAGTTTTCGCCTCCAGTAGACAGAGGCGCACCTTTTGGCAAATGCAGTCAATTCCCGAAAAGGTCTCCTGGAGCATGTTGCTCAAGTTGTTGTTGATGGTGATAAGGTTGTCTTGGGCGCATTTCTGATAGTCGTCCAGAGAAGTGGTGATGGACGGCGTGCCTGCGTGTCGCTCACATCCGAAAGAATCTAAAGCTCTATTTTTGCTTTTGATAGTTTGTTGTGGCACGTATGGGCTGCTGGATCTCAACGAGCCCATCGGACCAAGCGGCCTTCCGTGTATTATAACATTTCGTTTGTGCTTGCTCAGAATGACCGGTCGTTCGGTTAGTACGGGCTGTGGCATTTCTGTTAACTATGAATTTCTTTGAAAAAACTCGCGTGCTTCAACTGCTTCCTGTAGGCGGTGTTTTTGTCTACATTAGGTTCTCTTCGTTTAAGAAGTGCTGGAAATTCAATTTTGACGCTGACACTCAAAAGAAAATCAACTGGTGGTGCCTGACGATACCTCAATTCATCTAATAATTGAAAGCGCCATAGTGAACGGTTCGGAACGGAACAATTTTGACTGTTTTGTATTCCAGATTGGTACATCATTATATGATGCTGAGGGAGCTAAAATTATTGGAAAACTCCTGGAAAAGGCACAGAAAAACAACGTGCAAATTCATCTGCCAGTCGACTTTATTACCGCGGAAAAGTTCGATGAAAAAGCTCAGGTTAGTTGAACCAAAAAAATCAAGGGTTTCGGATTTTAACGATTGTCGTTTTTATTTATGTTTAGTCGAGTTGTGCCTCTGTGGAAAGTGGGATCCCCGAAGGTTGGATGGGCCTCGATGTGGGACAAAAAACTATTGAACAGTTCAAAGAGCCAATCAGACGAGCTAAAGTAATTGTGTGGAATGGGTAAGTGAAACATGGTGAATAGAAAGCATTATTGATGCGTTCTTCTACCACTCAGGCCAGCGGGTGTTTTCGAATGGGACAAGTTTGCGAACGGAACAAAGGCCATCATGGACGAGGTTGTGGCAGTGACGCAAAAAGGCGCCATTACTATTATTGGTAAGTGAGGTGACTTCCTCTATTGGAAATGACCTCGATAACTCTGAGTTTACATTCAAGGTGGAGGCGATACTGCCACTTGTGCAGCCAAATGGGGCACTGAAGATAAAGTGTCGCACGTTTCCACCGGAGGAGGCGCCAGTCTTGAACTGTTGGAGGGCAAAGTGCTTCCAGGAGTTGCTGCTTTGTCTGATGCCTAAGATTATTATTTATAAAGCGTTTGTAGTCGAGAGCACTCGGTTAATTCATTTGGAAGTGATGATGCGTTTGGCATCAAAATATAAGGAAAAGTAGTCAGTAAATTATTTGTAGGAACTGTGGAAGAGTTTTAGTTCAACCTGAAGTCGCCCACATAAGCCTCGACAAGGTGAGTGCAATTATGATTTTATGCAGACTTGCTTCTATAAAGGTGTGAGCCAGTTGATACCGGTTACTTGTTAACGTTGCAACATCTTATGCAGTTAGACGAGTATTGCAACAAACAAGAACCATTACCAGATATTTCCGGATTTCATTGTTTACAATTGAGATTTGTATCAACTTATGGAATTATCGGCGGTTCTGCGCCCCGTGATCTTTGACAGTTGCTCAATTCGATTTTTGTGACTCAATAATCGGTCCAATTAGTTAGATATGAATTGCGTAAGTTAGGATTTATTAATAGATAGGGGAGTTTCTGTTTGGTTGATGTGGCCCCAGCGCATGCCATGTGCATATACTCTGATAATGCCAGGACATTTGCATGGTTGAATACAGTTGCTTTACAAAAATTACTAGTTGCTGTTAGAACAGTAGAAAATCGAGTTGATTACAGGGGCGGATCCAGCTTTAGAGTCAGG